CGGCACTGCGAGGCTTGACGCTTAAGAAAAAATTAATATTTTCGATGTGGCCACACCTCTTGAACAAAATAAAAATATGCTTTAAGAATTCCTTTTTTGATTCTTTATTTAATGGCATAAATTTTATTTTGTTCAAAGGGTGTGGCCACAGCAAAAAATCAAAAAGAAGACGGAAAAATGATGCATTTTGATCAAAAAGGAGCAAAGTGCACGTGTTTCGACGTTTACTGTACAAATATGACGTCATAATATATAAAAATCGATATACACTTTTTAAGTTCAATACCTAGGGGTTATATTTTTGTTATAATTTTCCCTCTTGAATTAAGTTCAATTTTCCTGAAAAAATAGGCCGCTATATGCACTTCGTGAATTTAGCTCTTTATTTGTGCTGTGTGTGCCTTAACAGAGCATAGAGAGCATGATCCGATAACTATTACCACGGCAGCCACCGAAAAAAGAAAAAGGTCTACGTAAATTTCTGAAAAAGATCAGAAAAGAAGATTTTCCTGGAATTAAATGAAAAAATAGAGAAGATTCCGAAAAAAGATATATTGAAAATAAAGAATTGTGTGAGTCTGAAGTGATAAAGCTAGAGAAGCATTATAATGAGATAATAGCCAGGCTGGCAGAAATAAAAAAAACAACATCATAAACAAACGACTCAGGGTTCTCCATGGGCCGTTTAACGTGGCGGCCCCGCCACAGTTAAGTTCCTTAGCACCACAGATAAAAAATCAGAGCCATAGTTCCGCCACAGTCGAAATATAAGCACCACAACTTAAGATCATCGTTGTCTCTCCGGTTTTGCTGTGCAAGTTATAGAATGGTGTGCATTTTTTAAAAAATAGTTTCCTTTTTGAAAATCGAATTGAAAAAAAAGGTGAACGGAGTGTAATTCACCTAAAGTGAAATACATTGAACTTTGAAACCATTATTTCTATTCAAGAATAGGCGTTGATCAAAATGCCATGATGGTGTTCCTTGCACTCAGGATATCTACAAAATCGAGAATCGCAATTCAATAAAAAAAACTTTATTTGTAAAAACTCGTGAGTCAGTTTTCATATTGATCAAACTACTCTATATGATGTTCATCATTATATGTCGACTTTATCGTTAGGATTCTTTAATGGAATTTTATCTATAGGATCTGACTGATATTAATATCTTTAAGACTCTTGGCTTTCAATGAAAGCATTATCAAGATCGCTATCGGCCCGTTTAGTTAAGATTTTTAATGAAGTCGAAACTTTGGTGAACCGAGTCTCATTTTCCCATCGATACTTAAAATGTAGCCAGGTATCTTTATTTAGTTTGTCGCATTATTTACACCTTGAAAAATTGTTTGGTTTTGCATTTGCAATTAACTAAAACTTTGGTAGATTTTTTTAAAATCAATGATGAATATATTAAAACATTTTTAAAGTAAATTTTGGTTCTAGTTTCTTACAGAATTAGAAGTTTCTTTGTATAATGGGATCGTAATTGAAATGCATTACAAGAAATATAGAAAAATGAATTCTAGCTCGATATGAAATATTCCGTTCCGACTTTAAGCATAGCTTTTATGACATTTATATAAAGCTCAATATCATGGTTCGTGTTTATTCTTATATTTCAGCGATCATTGGATGAACATTATAAAAATTAAAATAATTAATAGCTTACATTTTATTTTCCTTTTGGTATATGCCATATTGGTACAATAAATCCTTAAATCTTGGCTTGTTTTCAACATATGGTGTATCTATACATTAGATCATTAAATGTTTTATTGTTAAAGGCTTACAGCCGTCTAAAGAGTTGTCTTAAGTCATATTTTGATGTTTAAAAATCAACTTTTTGACGTTTATGATAAAACCGAATACCAGGCATGTAAGGATTTTTAGCTCACCTGAGCCGAAGGCTCAAGTGAGCTTTTCTGATCACATTTTCTTCTCAAGAACCATTGGGCCAGAAAAGCTGAAACTTATGTGGAAACATTCTAAGGTAGTGTAGATTCTAAATTTTAAAATCATGACCCTCGGGGGGTGGGCGGGGCCACAATGGGGAATCAAAGTTTTACATAGAAATATATAGGAAAAATCTTTTAAAAACTACTTCTCAAGAACCACTGGGCCAGAAAAGCTGAAACTTATGTAGTGTAGATTCTAAATTATTAAAATCATTACCCCCAGGGGATGGGCGGGGCCACAATAGGGAATCAAAGTTTTTCAAAGAAATATATGAGAGAAATCTTCAAATATCTTCTTCTCAAGAACCACTGGGCCAAAAAAGCTGAAACTTATTAGAAAGCATCCTGGTATAGTGTAGATTCTATATTGTTCATATCATGACCCCCGGGGAAAGGGCGGGGCAACAATGTGGAATCAAAGTTTTACAAAGAAATATATAGGAAAAATCTTTAAAAATCGTCTTTTCAAGAACCAATGGGCCAGAAAAGCTGAAACTTATGTGGAAGCATCCTGGGGTAGTGAAGATTCTAAATTATTAAAATCATGACCCCAGGGGTAGGGCAGGGCCACAATAGGGAATCAAAGTTTACATAGAAATATATGGAAAATCTTTGAAAATCTTCTACTCAGGAACCATTGGGCTAGAAAAGCTGAAACCTATGTGGAAACATCCTGGGGTAGTGTAGATTCTAAATTGTTCTAATCATGACCCCTGGGGTAGGGCGAGGCTACAATGGGGAATCAAAGTTTTACAATGTTGAATCAAAGCATCCTATGGTAGTGTAGATTTCAAATTGTTTAGATTATGATCAGTTGGGTAGGGTGGGGTCACAATATGTATTACAAGGGAAAATCTGGTAAAGAACGGAATGGTCAAAGCTTCTCAGGTGAGCGATGTGTCCCATGGGCCTCTTGTTTAAAGATTTTATTTATTTTGGAATCATTTCCACGAGAAGTGTATTTTTTCAAATTATAGATCCTTTTATTCCGGGTTTATTCATATATTTTAGATGTCATACTTCTGTTATATTAATGTCATAATTTACACCTGCATGAGCTAAACTTACTTGTACATGCAGCTAGCTGACAAATTAAAAATAGATTTAAAAGCCAACTTCACAGTCTTTGTTGTTATCTAACATGTACATAAATATCTGGGTCACTGCAATTGGTAGGCGACACCCGACAAACATGGCTGCCAGTGCAACCAAAAAATACCCATTGGGTTCACCACAAGAACATATTAAAATGTGTGAAATCCATGGAAAAACAATTGATATGGTATGTGAGGACTGTAATGAATTCATGTGTTGAGTGTGCCTTGATAAATCATAGAGACCACGATCCGAAAACTCTACCAATGGCAGCCACTCAAAGAAGGAAAGAACTACATAAATTTATGAAAAAGATCAAGGAAGAAGATCTGCCTGGGATTGAAGAGAAGATGAAGAAGATTCCGCAGCATATGACAGAAAATAAAGAACTGTGTTACTCTGAGATTGAAAAGCTACAAAAGCATTATGATGAAATAATGGCCAACCTGATAGAGTCAGAAAACGCCACGAAAAAACACTTAAAGAGAATTTGGTTAAACAGAATGATCAATTAAACCAAGTGAAATCTGAACTAGACAATAAAAAAAGAGGAATCATTGACATGGTGGAATTCATGGAGGAGAACAACAGCCCCATGTCAGATTACAGCTTGATTGACAACCACAGAGAACTGACAAAAATGTTGTTTGAATTGGAGGTACATATGACAAACTGTGAACATTCAGTGAGGTTCACTGCAGGTGAAATCAATGTAAATTTACTTGAGTCTATGATTGGAAAAACTATGGATTTGGATGATATTACTGTGACTCAAGTTAACTCGTTTCAATACGGAAATGAAATAATTATTGCGTTGGAGACATTTAGTAAAGACCAGTGTTAAGAGATACAAAATCAAAATATACAGAAAAAGTTAATAAGGAAGGAGAAAAATATCGAAAGTTGAGTATGGTTCCATATGACATGTGTGTGACTAGTACTGGTGATGTTTATTTCACTGATTTCAGTAACAAGTCCATCCGTTGTCTGTCACTATCAGGATCTGTCTCTACAGTCATCAGTACAGATCCACTGGTACCATTAGGAATCTGTCAGTCAGTGGACAGTGAACTACTGGTGACCTTCAGAGACAAGGAATCAGATGATTACAAATTAGAGTCACACAGTAGACGTCTGATGAGACACATCACAGTGACAGGTGATGTCATCCATAAGTATGAGTACCAGGAGGACGGTCAGACCAGACTGTTTACATTGCCATACAGAGTCACACAGAACAAAAACAGTGATATCTGTGTTGTGAACCGCACAATTGCCAATGCAGGTGAACTAGTGATAATGTCACTCACTGGTCGCTTAAAGTTTATCTACAGTGGACAGAATCTTAAAAAGAAATTTTGTCCAACTGCTGTATTGTATGAATCCCTCTGTAACATCCTTGTTACTGACTTGAACAACAACCAGATCCATCTACTGAGTTCTAACGGGGAGTTCCTGAAGTTCTTACTGACGCAGAATGAAGAGAATCATCCAGTCAGATTATCACTATACAAGTCTATGCTGTGGGTAGGACACTGGGAAGGACTTGTCAAAGTTTTTAAATATAGACTGTAAAACGTAGCAAAAAGATTCCTTATTCAATTTATTAATCTCAGAATAAAATCATAATTAATGCATGCATACAGTGTTCCTATATTTTGTTATCAAAATATCACAACAAAACCAGAATCACATTAATATTTTCTTTTAATTATAGGACAAAAATAATAAATTCATCTTCCTTGTCTGACATTTTTCTTGATTAATGATAAAGATAAATTATATTTACCGTAATTATATAAATGGAATTAAAAGATTTCTAAATAACCTTTGTAGAGTTTAAGAAGACTTTAAAGAAGGATTGCACTTTATGCAGCTAACCCCCCCCCCCCCCCCCGGGTATTGCTAAAATATCAGCTGAAGATTTAAATGAAGAATTAAACATTTTATGTCTCAATTTTGAGAAAAGAAACTGTGTATTACGAAATGGTGTTTGTTGCGACAATTATGATTTATGTATAAATAATTGGGTATGCTTGAGCTGGGTATATAATCGTTTTGAAATATTGAAATATTTCACGTTTCTTCGGTCATTTTTGATGAATATTATAATGTGTGGTTTTAAAAACGCATGTACACATGTAATAGATGAATCTATAAAATCAGATTTTGACGAAAGTTTCTTCTTAATCAACAATTTATGATCCGTGCGGAATACATGGATAAGAACGTATCCTAAATTTAGAAGTTGGACGAAATTGAATTGGTGAAGTCATTTTCACTTGTACAATCAAATTATAATGTTGTAATCAACATAATTTTTATCATGACATTGATCTAAACACCCCATTTTTGTGTATCTGTACATCCCCCTCCCCTTTTCCCTTTAGATCAAAATTGATCTTTAAAAAATAAAACAAGCATAAGGGTTCACTTAACAATTTTACCAAGCTAATTTGCAAGAACTAAACCACGCATCGCAATTTATTTCGTGAACCTGTGATTAAGTGTGCTCTTTGTAAAGAGAAAGAATTCTTTTTATCTTGACCCATTTGAAACCATTACTTCATTATTCGTGATTTTCTTTCGTGATGATAATCAAAAATATTACTTATTGCTATATCTTTAAAAGTTAGTTCCTTGTACAAAAAAGGCTAACATTATAGACATTTATTGACTAATTCGAGGGCAACATGCGTTTGGCGGAACCCAAGACTCAAACTGTCTGCCTGAGGCATTAAGTCGAAGGCAGGCAGTTTGGTTCGAGGGTCGATAAAATGCACTTTGCCCATAAACATATTTCAATAAATGTTTTGTTATACCTTTCATTGTAATAAATTATTTTTTTGACATACTAGTACATTTACATGTATTTTGTACCATCTGCTGTGATATAACCCAAGTCCGTTACTGTTGAACACTAACGAATGAAAATGAGATTAAACTCCGCCCATTCTGTGACGTAAGCGGTCCAACATCTCATCGACCGGTCCAACATCTCACTCAGCGGTCAAACATCGATATTTTTAGTCGCCCGCGTGGCGCAGTGGTCAGAGCGTTTGCTCTAGAGTCGAGAAGTAAGGAGTTGATCCCTACGCCGCAGGTTTGAAAGCCAGTGTGGGACGTGTAGACCGGTCCTTCGGATGAGACCGTATATAAACCGAGGTCTCGTGTCGCAATAGGTGCTGACACGAAAAAAATCCCTCCCTGCTCAATGCCTTTGAGTGCCGAGTATATAGGTCAAATTTGCAGATCTCTATCCACCGGTAAGTGTTGGCGTCTCCATATGACTGAAAAATTTTCGAGAGGGACGTTAACAATATGTATACAATCAATCAATCGATTTTTTATGCCCGCTCCACAGGCACTTGTTTCTGAAATAAATATTTAACCCATATTATTATTATTATATTAAAGGTTAAAATTTATTTCTGAAACAAGTGCCTGCAATAATGTGGCCCGCTCAGCAAAACATTAAAAATGTTAGACTTTTTGTATAGATTTGTATAGGAACAAATTCTTAAAGGTATAACAATTTATTGATATTACATGTACCTTCAATACAAAAAACCTATCCTTCAGTCTGTATAGGAGAATGTCGAACTTTGTTTGGGTTAAAAGGTTCGTGCAAACACTTTGTCACCTATGGAACTTCATAAATAAAGATTTCCAAGGTGTAAAGTATTTTCATCAGTTGTATGACCGACATAACTTTGTCCTAAGAAATGAATTTGTGAAATACAGATTGAAATCACATAAGTCTGACAGTTATTCCTTATATTTACGTGTTTTGATTCCGCCAATCCACGTGCTCCAAGCCCTGCTACTGTCTAGCTGTTTGTTCCGCCCTGCACGTGGTTTTTTGGAACAGCGCCAATACATTGATGAGGAATTAAGTACATTTACAATTTGTAATTTTATCTCTGACAAAGACATTGGAAATGTAAATATTACTAGTACCTTATAAATTCTGAAACGCAAAAGAAACGCAACAAGCAGTAGTCTACAAATGTTTGAATTTTTATCTAATGAATTTCAAAAATGTAAGGCTGATTACATTTTAAAGATTTGATAAAATTGTTATAAATGATTAACTTTTACTTAATTTTAAAAAGTAATTAACATATGAATGTTAAAACACCCCCTCCAAGCCATTCAATTAAAACGTACAAAACTGCCCTACACAACAATTGCAGCCTAATTTCTATGATACAATAGTTTCATCAGGAATTTCGAGATCTCAGCGAAGTAATTATTCTTTGCCATTTTTAAAGGTATGTTTTTCAGCTGATTAGGTCGAATTTCCTTTAACCAAGGGCAGTGTAGTAACCCTCAAAGAATCCAGATGGTCGAACTACATCATTGTGATTTATTTGGTAGACCAACATGTTTTACTCATAATAGGCGTAGCCTATTGGACTTTTACGAGAAGCACTGATTTTTACAAATGACTGTTTACTTGGACATTTAAACATTCACATCTACGGAGGAACAGAATTGATAATGGAAAAGAAAACCTTTCTAGTGGTAATGTTAATAGTGTTAGGGGCACTTGTATGTGAAGGCCTTGATTTCAGGGTAGGATGGTTGTCGTTTTCTTCAAGGACAACTTATCTATGCTTTGAAATATCCCGTTATTTTCGGTGAATTAAATGTTGAGCTAAATTATTATATCTTAAACGAGCTTCCGTACACTGTCCTACTGTAATAGTAATTCGTCAACTGTAAAAGTCAGCGCTTCTCGTAAAAGTCCTGTAGAGACCGTAGATTATACCATTGTATCAAATGAACTTTTACAATATGTATGATTTTTTCAAGTAGAGGATTTTACTGTTTGTCAAATCATTGTCCTACTGTATATTGTTGTCCCCCGCTTTCGCGAAAGCGAGGGGACATTAAATCTCATTCGTCTGTCCGTCAGTCTGTCCGTCCGTCAGTCCGTCACAAAAACTTTAACTTTGCCCATAATTTTTGATATAGTGGAGCTATGACTTTCATATTTCACATGTGTATTCCTTGTGATAAGACCTTTCTTTGAGTACCACCAAATCTGAACATTTGACCTTGACCTTGGAGTTTGACCCACTTTTACACAAAAATTCCAAACTTTTACTTGGGCCATATCTTCGGAGTGGTAGATATTAGGACTTTCATATTACACATATAATTATATTCTTTGTGACAAGACCTTTCATTGGATAACAAGTTTGAGCTTTTGACCTTGGAGATTTCCGTACTTATGTAAAACGTTAACCTTAACCATAACTTTTGAACGGTAATGGCTAGGGCTTTTATATATCATATATGTAATTCTTGTGAGAAGACCTTTCCTTGGATACCAAGAACTTTGACCCTTTGACCTTAACCTTGGAATTTGACCTACTTTTCAAAAACTTTGATCTTGGTTACAACTTTTGAACGGTGGATACTAGGACTTTCATATTTCACATACATGTATGTATTCTTTGTGGCAAGACCGTTCATTTGATATCAACAACATTGACCTTTTGACCTTCACCTTTGAGATTTTTTGTACTTATGAAAAAACTTTAACCTTGACCATAACTTTTGAATGGTAAGGGCTAGGGCTTTCATACTTCATATATGTAATCCTTGTGAGAAGACTTTTCATTGGATACCAAGAACTTTAACCCTTTGACCTTGACCTTGGAGTTCAGTGATGATTTCTTAATAAATGACATATGATAGGGTGTTCATACTAGTATTACACACAATAGTCATAAATAATGACATCTCACCCGCGAAGACACCGAAAGCGGGGTACCACAATTCCTTGAATTTGCTTGTTTAATTTCTAAGTGTATTACAGAATGTACCACTACATCGTCAAAACTTTCATTCATTTGGACAGATCAAGAGGACAATTATTAAAAAATTTGAAGAGCTAAAAAGTAACAAGAGTCATATTTTGACACAAATGTACTGAATAGCGCAATTACATGTAGTGAAATACTTAAAGCCATTAAATCTGTGAAAAATGGTAAATCCCCACCTATTGATTTAATATCAAATGATAAAAAATAGTACACATACTTTGCTTGAGTCAATAACTAAACTTTTTAATTTTGTATTTAATTGAAAAAGGAGTTTCCTAAATTATGGAATAAAACTTTTATTGTCCCACGTACGGTATAAAACAGGTAGTAAATCTGATCAAAACAACTATAGAGGATTATCAATGAGCTCAAACTTGGGGAAAGTATTCAATAAAATCATACATTTGGGATAAATAAAATTTACTCTAGATAATAATCAAATTAGCAAAAATCAAATTGGCTTTATGGAACACAGTCGAACAGCCGATCACATTTTTTTGAAAAAAACTTCCGGTCAGCCATTAGTGTAAGATGTAGGCTGTTAAAGCTGTGAGAGAATTAGTGGGTGCATTGAAGAAACATGTGTGTGTATTGTCTCCTGGCAAGTATATCATCGTATAATATGCCATAGTTTCCTATAATAGTGATTTTGAAGCTGTTCATCAAATACAGACAAAATTTTAATTAATTGTGTCGTTTGGTCCAATGAACTCTACTCACGATACCAACCAATGTCGG